CCTTGTTTCAAAAGCTTGCATGGAAAGGGAGTGGGCATGCTGGATGGCCTGAAAGAAAACAGAAGTGTTAGAAAATATTTTAAGTATGAAACAGAAAGAAAGAAAATTCCAAGCAGGAACACTTACTTAAACGGAGTGCTAGAGCATTAGAGCGTAATTCTCGTACTCACTATACTCAGCATTTCGCTCGAGGTCACTCGGAAGAAGCAACGCCGTGCTGAGGGCAACGCCGACATTTATGTCGTCGGCGCTTTCACTGGACATAATTGCTACTTCAGGGCATGAAAGGATGAGTTTTCTGGATGCATACAGGGGGTACCACCAGATTGCCATGTACCCTCCAGACGAGGAAAAAATCGCGTTCATCACTTCTAAAGGCCTGTACTGTTACAAGGTAATGCCTTTTGGGTTGAAAAACGCAGGAGCAACTTACCAAAGGTTAGTAACAAAGATGTTCAAGCACCTGATTGGCAAAACGGTAGAAGTCTACATCGATGACATGGTCGTGAAGACCAAGGAATCTAAGGGTCATCTTGCCGACCTAAAAGAGGTATTCAAGATCCTCAAAACATATCGGCTCCGACTCAACGCATCAAAGTGCGCGTTTGGAGTTGGATCAGGTAAGTTTTTAGGGTATCTGGTAACGAGGAAGGGCATTGAGGCCAGCCCAAACCAAATCAAGGCCATCCTAGAGCTGCAGAGCCCGACGTCGGCAAAACAGGTTCAGATTCTTACTGGAAGGGCCGCAGCCCTAAACAGATTCATCAGCAGAAGCTCAGATAAATACAGACCCTTCTTCAACCTGGTGAAAAAAGCCATAGACTTTCTGTGGACAGAAGAATGCGAAGCCGCTTTAACCGACCTAAAAAAGTACTTGACCACAACTCCGGTTCTTTCCAACCCAGAACCAGGGGAAGAACTATTTTTGTACTTGGCAGTTTCAGAACACGCAGTAAGTGCAGTACTGATCTGAGAAGAAAAAAAGGAGCAAAAGGCTGTTTATTATGTTAGTAAAACCTTGGCTGATGCAGAAACAAGGTATCTACCACTGGAGAAATTAATGCTAGCCTTGGTAATGGCTTCAAAGAAGTTGAACCATTACTTTCAGGCGCACAAGATTGTGGTCCTAACAGAGCACCCACTGAAGTCCTTGTTGTAACAAGGAAACTTAACAGGGAGGATAGCAAGATGGGCAGTAGCCCTGGGCCAGTATGACTTGGAGTTCAGACTAAGAACAGCAATTAAAGGCCAAGTTTTGGCCGACTTCGTGGCAGAATTCACACCCGAAACCATCGGACATCGGGCTTCGTTGAGCCAGGATGAGCATTGTCCCAGCAAGCAAAAAGAATCCCAGCCTAGGGCAAAAGAACAAAGGAATGAGAAACTCAGACCTTGCAGCATCTACATCGGCGATTCATTCAGACTGTTCGTTGATGGAAGTTCAAACCGACAAGGAGCGGGGGCAGGAGTACTGATGATATCTCCAGATGGAGAAATAATAGAACAGTCCATCCGTTTGGGGTTCAAGGCCTCAAACAATGAAGCGGAATACGAAGAATTAATTGCAGGGCTAAAACTGGCTGCAGCAGCAGAAGCAGATGAGGTAATAGTTTTTTGTGATTCACAACTTATTGTTAACCAGTCCACAGGTGAATTTGCAGCCAGGGATGAAAGAATGTCGGCATATACAAAAGAGGTCATCAGATTGGCAGCCCTATTTCAGAACTGCCGACTACTCCAAGTTAGCCGAGATGACAACACCCACGCCGACGCGTTGGCTAACCTGGCAAGTTCAATGCAAACTGGAAAAACAAGGACAATTATGATTGACTATATGTCGGGCCCGAGCATAGAACCAGAGAACACAGAGCAGCAAGCAATGTGTGTGGACATGGGGCCAAGCTGGATGGATGCAATTGTTGCATTCCTGAAAGAAAAAAAGCTGCCAGAAGATCGTAAGGAGGCACACAAAGTCAGACTGAAATCGGCAAGATTCTGTCTGACAGAAGATGGACACCTCTACAGAAGGTCCTTCACTGGACCACTTTTAAGGTGCGTACACCCTTTGCAGGTTGAAGATTTCCTTTATGAAATTCATGAAGGAATTTGTGGAAGCCATGCTGGGGGCAGATCGTTAGCCCACAGGGCCATTACCCAGGGGTATTGGTGGCCCTACATGCAAAAGGATGCTGAAGCCTACGTAAAGAAGTGTGAACAATGCCAAAGGTTTGCACCTTTGATACATCAGCCAGCTGCTGATCTGAACCCAGTGTCCAGCCCTTGGCCGTTTGCCCAATGGGGCATGGATCTGGTTGGGAAGCTTCCCCAGGCAACTGGGTAGAGAAAATACTTGCTGGTGGCAACAGATTACTTTACAAAATGGATAGAGGCAGAACCTCTTGCTAAAATCCGAGATGTGGACGTCAAGAACTTTATATGGAGAAACATCATCACTAGATTTGGGATTCCAAGAGCAATAATTGCCGACAACGGAACACAATTTGACAGCAAACTCATCAAGAACTTCTGTGCAAAATTCAAGATCAAGAATTACTTTTCAACACCAAGTTTTCCCTAAAGCAATGAGCAAGCAGAAGCATCCAACAAAGTAATTTTGGATGGAATAAAGAAGAGGCTGCAGGTAGCAAAAAGAAAGTAGGTGGACGAGTTGCCCAACGTACTTTGGGCATATCGGACTACGCCGAGAAGATTAACAGGGGAATCCCCCTTTGCCATGGCTTATGGCACAGAAGCAATCATCCCATTGGAAATCGGCATTCTAGGGATCAGAACCCAGGGAGTGGAGAATGGCACCAACGACATACTCTTAGCCCGAGATCTGGATCTTTTGGAAGAACGAAGAGAGAAAGCTGCAATTCAGCTCGTAGTATACCAGCAACAGCTTGCTAGAGCTTACAACAAGAAGGTTAATCTAAGAGATTTTCAAGTCAGCGACCTAGTCTTGAGAAAAGTCGTCGGCAACAAGAAAGATCCCAAAGAGGGCAAGCTTGGCCCAAACTGGGAAGGACAGTACAAAATTACTTCATTATTAGGCAATGGAGCTTATTGGCTTAAAGATAACGAGGGCAAAGCACTGCCAAGACCTTGGAACACTTGTAATTTAAAATTCTTCTATCATTAGATGTGCAGTATTTTTGGCCGATATCTTTAATAATGTTTTTTCCAGAATTCTTTCAACACATATGACTGATAAAATTACATACTGATATTTTTGGAGACATGAATAATAAGAACCCCAGTAGAACTCAGGTTCACATTGGGGGCAGAAAGAGAGAAAGCTGCAATTCAGCTCGCAGTATACCAGCAACAGCTTGCCAGAGCTTACAACAAGAAAGTTAATCCAAGGGATTTTCAAGTTGGCGACCTAGTCCTGAGAAAAGTCGTCGGGAACAAGAAGGATCCCAGAGAAGACAAGCTTGGCCCAAACTGGGAAGGACCCTACAGAATCACTTCAGTATTAGGCAATAGAGCTTATCGGCTTGAGGACAATGAAGGAAAAGCATTACCCAGACCTTGGAATACTTGTAATTTGAAATTTTTCTATCATTAGATGTACTTCATATTTTGGCCGATATCATCAATAAAGTCTTTTCAGAATTCTTTCAACACATATGATTGAGAAAGTTATGCATTGATGTTTATTGAAGACATAATTAACGTGAACCCAAGTCAAACTCAGGATCACATTGGGGACAAAGAAAAGGCAGAGATTATTCCTTAATTCACTTGTTGAAATTTATAGTAATTTACAAGTTGAAAATAAGCTGATTCCTTATCTTCACTTGTTGAAATTTGTAGCAATTTACAAGTTAAGCTGATTCCTTCTTCACTTGTTGAAATTTGTACAATTTACAAGTCGAAGTTAAGCCGAAATTATTCCTTAATTCACTTGTTGAAATTTGTAGCAATTTACAAGTTGGAATTAAGTTGATTCCTTATCTTCACTTGTTGAAATTTGTAGCAATTTACAAGTCGAAGTTAAGCCGAGATTACTGGTTCTCTTCACTTGTTGAAATTTGTAGCAATTTACAAGTCGAAGTAAAACCGAGATTATAGTTTACACACTTATAGCAATCTACAGGTTGGTCCAAACAAAGAAGATGCTTAACACTTGTTGAAATTTGTAGCAATTTACAAGATAATATTAAGCCGACATGTGATCATCTGTTGAAATTTGCAGCAATTTACATGTTGAGATAAAAGCTAAGTATATTGTTTAAACACTTGTTGAAATTTGTAGCAATTTACAAGTAGATCATTGATATAACTTGAGAAAAAATTACAGTATATGTTAACACCTGTTGAAATTTGCAGCAATTTACAAGTAGGTTAGACCGAGATCACTGTTTAAATTCTTGTTGAAACTTGGAAAAAAGTTTACAAAATTGACATTGAGCAGTATATGTTTTACACTTATTGAAACTTATGAAAAGTTTGCAGGTCAGTATCTTGCCGAAGTAAAACTTGTAGTTATTGAACCCGAGACATGTGACCCCGAGAAGATTGCACAAAGTTGGCAAGATATGAAAGGCATGCAAGATATTCTAAGTATAGAACCACGCAGAAGCAATCAAAGAAAAGACAAAGATTCAAGTGTTAAGAAAAGGAAAGCTGAGTTAACATTTACAAAATTGGAAGGCACGTCGGCCACGCAAAAGCTTACATTGTTCAGAAAAAGATAAAGAAAAAAACATAATACAAGTAAACAAAAGAAGAACATAAAGCTAAGGGTCTTCTCCTCCAGATTGTTGGATTTGGAGATCAGATACAACCTCGGACTCCTTCTCTGCCGCTATTTCGGCGTCAATTTCCTGAAGAGTTTGTTCGACAGTCTTAACCTCGGAAGGGATATCGGCTGGAACAATGTCAGGAACAGCTTCAGGGATAACCTCGTCACCTTCTTCATCTTGAGTCAAGTCAAGGACTTGCTCATTCTGAGGAGGGGACTTAGCCCCATCAGCATACTTTGGTTTTCTGACCAAAGCCTCATCCTCTGCCTCATCGGCATCCTCAGACTCAGATTCAGATTCTCCTCCAGGTTGACTTGATGGAGGAGGAGGGGGGAACGACAGAGGAATAGCGTCGGCTTTGTGCAGTAGCGAGTCATCTGGGATGTTGAGCTTTTTGGAAAGAGCCATCCAACCGAGGGAGAAGCCCCTGTTGCATGCCTGCCTGACTTGCAGTTTGTATTCCTCAGAGACGTCGACCATGCCCTGGGCATAAGCCTTCTCATCAGCTTCTTTAATCTCAGCTTCTTTGGTGGCCAGAGCCTTCTGAAGCTCTTTCTCAGCTTGGACCTTTTTGACCTCGGCCTCTCTCTTCTCGACTTCGGCAACTTTTTTGATGGCCTCAGCAGACTCGGCCTTTTCTTCGGCTAGGGTTTGGGCTTTGGTGGCAGCCTCAGCCTGGTCTTCCAGTTTTTTCATCTTTAATTGAAGAGATTTGTTTTCCTTTTTAAGGGCAGAAACCTCTCTCCTCAGATCAACCAACTTTGTCCTGTTTTCAAAAGCTTGCATTGAAAACGAATGGGCATGCTGAATGGCCTTCGGTATTAGGCAATGGAGCTTATCGGCTTAAAGATAACTTCTCTTCGGCTTTGGTGGGGGCATGGTTTGCGTCGGTTGAGCATCAACATCGGTGGGAAGGTCGGCCAAGAGATCTTGGGCAACAGGCTTCGGGCGACCCATCTCAGCAGTTTTGACGAGTCGTCGCCGACGTTTTCTTTCTGGTATTGGGATTAAGTGCGGGGCTGAAGTTGATGGTTGGTCGGTTGGATCAGAGGTTGACCCTTGGTCAACCCGAGATGTTGATGCTATTTGCAGAGTGGTAGCAGAAGGAGGAGATAGGCTCTTCTTCTTTCTTTTTAGGACGTCGGGCAATGTGGATTTGTATGTCAGAATAAAATTCAGCAACAGGGGAGCCTTGCGCTTGTGGATTGGAAGATCTAGGAGCTTCTTTAAATATTTTCCTGGGAAGAAGGATTGGCGGAAGTTTTTTGGTGGCTGATGAAGATCTGCAGGACAAACAAACAGACATTAGAAACAGACAAAGTTTCGAAGACTTGGAAAAGAAATAACTAAGTATTGACGCTGGACTCTTGCCCTTGCCCTTTTTAACTGTTCGAGGAAGAGGGTAGAGGTGAACATCTTCGTCTGGACCAAATTCCCAATTTCCCGAAGCAATGACAAAGTCATCCCCGGCTCCCTTGTTGGAGTCCGGGAGGTCGGCTACAATTTTGAATTCAGTAGACCTCGGCTTGAGGTAGTAGACGTAACCTTTTTCCTTCAGGTTAAAGGGGCACATGGTATAACAATATTGAACATCGGCAAGGGTGATCCTAACATTCTCCTGCCTAACTAGGGCTATGATACCATTGATCACTCGATAAGAGTTTATGGCAAGTTGCATAGGGTTCAACTTGTAAAAATGAAGAATTTCGCGAAAAAGAATGTTAAGTGGGAGCCGGAGTCCGCACTCAGTAAAAGCTACTATAGGAAAGGGCATTGAATCATCTGTGGGCATGATAGAGTCACTATCTTCAGCTAGCCTCAGATGGACATCGGCAAGAATAGAGAACTCCCGTCTAAAGTACTCGAGTTTGGTTGGGGTATCTACCCTATGTCTCCACATACCCATAACGTCGGCCTAAAAATAAGAGGGCTAGGTTTCAGAAAGAAAGGTGTTCTTAAGGGGTTATCCGGACCTCGGCGAAACCCTAGGTATATGCTGGTAAGGATTGTTTCAGTTTTCCCTAAATTGAAGGTTCTACAAACAAATCCCAAGCCTAAGAACTATGAAGATGAAGATCAAAGGCACAGATCTGGAAAGGAAAAACAGAAAACAAGAAACAAAGAATGACGTTTCAGAAACAAAGAACAGAGGTATGGTTCTCAAAAGCGAAAGAAATACAGAAGTAAAAGGTCAAGAACAGTGGCAAGAAAAGTATTAAAAAAGTGCAAGTGTTTAAGATATGAGTAAAATCATAGAAAAGACGCATCCAGATGAATAGTTCAACAAATTAAAGGTTTGAACAGCGCAATAATGGCAGTAAGTAAAACGAAAGCACATAAAAGAAATTGGGAATAAGAGGAACAGAGGCTTACCAGAACAAATGAAGCCGGAATGAAAGTCGCCGAGGTAAGGCAACGGTTGCAGACAAGACGGAGCGACGAAAGCTTCGCTGGAATGGAAGAATGAAGGCAGTTACAGAGCTTGGAGCTAGAGCAATGGCGGGTTTGAGAAAGTTTAGAGAGAGAGAGAGTGCCAGAAAATCGAATGCAAAAGTAAAGAAATGAAGATGGAGAGAAAATTTTTGTAAAAAACTTGAAACGACGGCAAAAGCAGGGCATTTATTACGCCTGGAGTAACGCATACGTCAGACGGCGCAGATGGGTGAAATACAGTTTTCAGGCACGTCACAACCACGGGCCAATGAGGATAAAGCACGTGAGGGGAACGGTTGAAAAAAGGTGCATGACAGCTCATGCGCGTGGAGGAGTTCGTTTGAGTTCTTGTTCTTTGATGAAGGCATGTCGGCCTAAAATGAATGATCTCGGCCGAACTTCGGCTGAAGGAAGCCTGATGGTAGGGGTGCGTTTTCGATCACTGGGACAAACGGCGAAGTCTGTGTAATAGAACCTAGGGGGCAGTTATGGGGACGTATTTTCTGAATACCAACACGTGGCATGGTGATGCCGACGTGTCAGCCGAGGTGCCACGTGTCTTGGTAGTTATGCCGAGGTTACCTAAGCAAGGCCGAGGTGATCTCCGAAGATATCGGAATCCGAGATAAGCGGATAACGGACAAGAGTCCTAGAGTAAAGAGAAGACTTTGCTAAGATACAGATAAAACTCTTAGGGAGTTTATCTTTATCCCTTGAAGAGTCCAAAGTTAACATTGAATTAGAGTCCATAGAAGTCAGACTTCTAGTGGGACTTGGATTTAGTAAACTATAAAAGAGAGGCACCCCGTGGGTTTAAGGTATGCAGTTTTATACTCAAGCTTGTGAGTTTAGTACTTGATTATCTTTGAGAGATATACTGACTTGATCATCGGAGTGCCCCCGGGCGGAAGAGCCACCGCCGGAGCCTTTTCTTTTTGTTACAGGTCTGTTGAAGCCATCTATTCTGCCGGTGCTCCCCAGCTGATTACTAGGCAGACAGTGCGGTCGGAAAATCACCCACACAAAAATATATGAGTATTTAAATTTTTTAGGCACGACTTGGTTTAGTTTTCATTTTCTTTTATGTTTTTTTCCTTTAAAAAAATAAAAATTAGTTTGTTGAATAAAATGATTTTTTTTTTTTGAAAAGAACGTAATTTTTGAGAATTTTAAAAATATATTTTTATATTTTATTTATATTTTTCAAATTAATTTTAAAAATATATTTTTGCATTTTATTTATTTTTTCAAATTAATTTTTAAATTAAAATAAATAAATTTAAAAATGAAACCAAATAAAGTGATTATTTTTTTTAATTTTTGATTAAATATTTTTAATATTAATTTTATTATAAACGTATCGTTGTATTAATTTCATGAAAATCATATTTATATATTGAAAAAATATATATTCTATTAAAATAAAATGAGAAAGACAAAATTTTTATAAAAAAAAATTATTATAAAAGTGAGGTGCGGGTAGGTATGATAGACACAAAAAGAGAGAGTGCCGTGTGTGTATGTGTGGGTGTTTTATTAGAATTTGAGGATTGGAAACGTGATGCAGACCGACCCACACAAGGACGGGAAGACAAATCCCAACTTCATTCTTCTACACTTTTTCTTTTGCTTTTGTCTTTTTGTTTTTTTGTTTTTTAATATTATTTAGGAGTTGTTTAAGATGTTTTAAATAAGTATACTTTTTGACTTTTTATGAAATATATATTGGATTTGAAGTGATGTGATAAAGAGATGATGTGAATTAAATAAGATGATGTGACTTAAATAGAATAGTGACTTTTTGACTTTTTAACTTTTTTAAGAGATGTCAAACCTAATCTTAATGTCTAAATAAGACAGATATTTGGTCCATGCTTCTATTTCATTACCATCTTCACAATTCCCACTTAGTACAAGTTATCACACTACTATCATAAAAACAAAAGCCTTTCAAAAACTATGTCCTCCTGATATATTTTTCAAAATCATCATTAATTTCTTCAAATTGAGAGCAATGGAGACCTTGTTCTGGAAAGCAGTCTTGAAGGTTGTGAAGTTGATTTTCTTCATCATGTTCTTCATTTTCATTACCACCAAACTTCTTGAAGTTGCTTCAAGGCCTTTTGATGGTAGAAAGCTCATGGTGGTTCACGATGGCGGCAGTGATCGTGGCTTGGTGTCGGCTCCCCCTCGCAAAGTAGCAAAACCACCTCTAGCTTCTTCTTCTTGCACATATATCCCCAAAAATGACCCGAGCCATTGCTAAAATTCTGTGATGAAATTGTTCTTCTGGTACAAAACTGTGTCATGTTCTGTTGATTTATTCTTGGATTAGATGTTTATTACTAGTTGTGGAGTGTCTTGAATCTTCATATTTTTCATTCTGGGGTAGGGGTCACACGTCTTCCCCCTCTCTCACATGTGGGTTTTTTTTTTTTTTTTGTCTAAGTTTTTTTTTTTTTTTTTTTTATTCTAAGGAAAATGTGTAACTTATTGTATATCTAATCTAAAGGTCAAAAATCTTTCATGATCATTTTCATGAAAAAGCACTAAGGATCTGTTTGCTAGGGGTATATAAATGACGAATATGAGGAGGGGTATACATATAGCGATCCCGGTTTTCCCTCCATTGTTTATTGTATTCCGGACTTGGATTCCGTCATGGTTGTTGTTGTCTTTATCTTGTTTCCGTCCTTTAAATTCTTTGTATTTGAGTTTTGAGATGTGTTGGGTAGGTTTGAAACAGGTTGGATGTGATTTGAAATAAATAGTTGCTGCCCAATTTTTTGGTTTCTTTGCTCGAGCAAGGCTTTTGTCGCTTGAGCGAGCTTTGGGTTTTAGTTCCTTCGCTCGAGCTAGGGTTCCTTCGCTCGAGCGGGCTTTGAGTAGTCTGTCTCTTGGTTCGAGCGAGCACTCTTGCGCTCGAGTGTGCGTCTGCGTCTCTTTTTGACGTGAAGGTGGTGTTTCTTAGCTCGAGTGAGCTTTCCTTCCCCCGAGCGAGCGAGATGTATGTTTTGGGTTTCTTCGCTCGAGCGAGGACTCTTACG